GCTTCAGCAATAGCAGTCGTGTTACTCAACATACAAACAGCTCTCTGGACCTTGGCTAAATCACCTCCTGGTACAACAGTTGGTGGTTGGTAGTTGATACCCACTTTGAAACCAGTTGGACACCAGTCAACAAATTGGACGGTTCTCTTGGTTTTGATGGTAGCAATAGCAGCATTGACATCTTTGGGAACAACATCACCGCGGTACAACATACAGCAAGCCATGTATTTACCATGACGAGGATCACATTTGACCATCTGGTTGGCTGGTTTAAAACAAGCGTTGGTTATTTCAGCTACAGAAAGTTGCTCATGGTAGGCTTTCTTAGCAGAGATGACTGGAGCATAGGTAGCCAATGGGCAATAAATTCGTGGGTAAGGTACTATGTTGGTCTGGAACACGGTAAGATCGACGTACTCAGTAAGATTGCCTTTGAGGGTATACCAAGATCGGAGTCTAAACACTTTCAAATGTTTTATCATTACGTTAAAGAATGGCCAGTGTCCCCTGAAAAAGTGTGAAGCCCGTGCTCGGCCCCCTCATCTAAGTTTCATAGACACGCCACTGGGAGCTTCTAACTATTGAAAACTCGAATATAATTTGCTTAATTGCATGTAAGAAATGTCTCAAATAATATGTAGGAGAAACGAGAAATAATTTACACACTCATTTCACGGGTTATCTTATCCTAACGTTCACCATTGAGCACATTACAATTGATTTGCCAGAAGGTTAAGATAAATTGCAAAATTGGATTTTCAAAAAAAAACTAGAAGTGAGATCTAAGTCAGAGATCGACAATATGAAATGGGAGAAAATCGTATTTATATCAATGATTTTCTCTTGGCTACAGACTACAAAAAAAAGATTTCATTTTGTTTCTTGGCTTTCAAACACGATTTATTCAACTATACAATATAACATAATATAAATATTTTAACAGTGAAAATATTTCATAATAAAGTTCTTGTGTTGATTGACCAAATACCANATAATGGTTTAGTGAGAAAT